CAACTGGTATTCTATTGTGTATGGACTCATGGATTTTTTTTTTATTCTGTGGATTAGAATACATTATTGTCATTATTTATTTTATTGCTCAAAATGTCCAAGTTTGGCTATTGAGAGCTCCCTCAAGTTGGCTCCTATGTCCTTTCAGTATGCCCCCATGATCTCATTATCCACAATATATTTTTTTCAATCCTTCAATTCCAAATATTTTCAGAATTTCTAACCCCTACTCCTGTGAAAAACAGATTGACTAATTCAAGTCCAATATTTGTGTGCAGATCCATTGGTCTTTAGCTGTATAGTATCCCATCAAAATACTGTAACATCAGTTAGTTATATTTCTTATCACCTCCTTCAATGTGGTTGCATTCCTCATTTGAAATACCATTCGTTATTGTTTGTATTTCATATTGAATTCCCCTCATCTCCTGGATGATCTTAATCATGTTCTGGGTATGAGGAACATTATTATGGTTCTAAGAGTCACAATTACACAAAAAGATATACTCAGAAGTGTCCCACCCCCTTCGTCCTCTACACCCTGTTATCATTTCCCCCTTTTTCCACATTATTCCTACCTAACCTCTGTAAATAACTAATCTCACTAGTCCTGTCTCATCTTTACAAATAAGCAAATGCACGTATATTTATTTATACCCACCCCTTCTGTCTTACATGAAAAGTAGCACATTACACTTCTCGGCACTTTGCTTTGCACTTAACGCTATACCCTGGAAATAACTCTATATCAATTCAAAGATCTTCCTCATTCTTTTTTTTTTTTTTATTAACATATAATGTATTATTTGTTTCAGGGGTACAGGTCCGTGATTCATCAGTCTTACACAATACACAGCGCTCACCACAACACGTCCCCTCCCCAATGTCCATCACCCAGCCACCCCATCCCTCCCACCCACCTCCACTCCAGCAACCCTGTTTGTTTCCTGAGATTAAGAATCTCTTATGGTTTGTCTCCCTCTCTGGTTTTGTCTTGTTTCATTTTTCCCTCCCTTCCCCTATGATCCTCTGTGTTGTTTCTTAAATTCCCATATGAGTGAGATCATATGATAATTGACTTTCTCTGGTTGACTTATTTCCCTTAGCACAATACCCTCTAGTTCCATATATGTCTTTGCAAATGGCAAGATTTCTTTTTTTTTATGCCTGAGTAGTATTCCATTGTATATATATATATATCACATCTTCTTTATCCATTCATCTCTTGATGGACATCTAGGCTCTTTCCATAGTTTGGCTACTGTGGACATTGCTGCTATGAACATGGGGGGCATGTGCCCCTTTGGATCACTACATTTGTATCTTTAGGGTAAATACCCAGTAATGCAATTGCTGGGACATAGGGTAGCTCTATTTTCAACTTTTTGAGGAACCTCCATACTGTTTTCCAGAATGGCTACAACAGCTTGCATTCCCACCAACAGTGTAGGACGGTTCCCCTTTCTCCACATCCTCGCCAACATCTTGTTATTTCCTGGCTTGTTCATTTTAGCCATTCTGACTGGTGTGAGGTGGTATCTCATTGTGGTTTCGATTTGTATTTCCCTGATGCCCAGTGATGTGGAGCATTTTTCATGTGTCTGTTGGCCATTTGTATGTCTTCTTTGCAGAAATGTCTGTTCATGTCTTCTGCCCAGTTCTTGATTGGATTATTTGTTCCTTCAGTGTTGATTTTGATAAGTTCTTTATAGATTTTGGATACTTAGCCCTTTATCTGATATGTCATTTGCAAATATATTCTCGCATTCTGTCAGTTGTCTTTTGGTTTTGTTGACTGTTTCCTTTGCTGTGCAAAAGCTTTTTATCTTGATGAAGTCCCAGTAGTTCATTTTTGCCCTTGCTTCCCTTGCCTTTGGCGATGTGTCCAGAAAGAAGTTGCTGCGGCTGAGGTCAAAGAGGTTGCTGCCTGTGTTCTCCTCAAGGATTTTGATGGATTCCTGTCTCACATTTAGGTCTTTCTCCATTTTGAGTCTATTTTTGTGTATGGTGTAAGGAAATGGTCCAGTTTCATTCTTCTGCACGTGGCTGTCCAGTTTTCCCAACACCATTTGTTGAAGAGACTGTCTTTTTTCCATTGGATATTCTTTCCTGCTTTGTGGAAGATTAGTTGACCATAGAGATGAGAGTCCATTTCTGAGTTCTCTATTGTGTTCCATTGATCTATGTGTCTGTTTTTGTGACAGTACCATACTGTCTTGATGATCACAGCTTCCGGAATTGTGATGACACCAGCTTTGCTTTGCTTTTTCAACATTCCTCTGGCTATTCGGGGTGTTTTCTGGTTTTATACAAATTTTAGGATTATTTGTTCCAGCTCTGTGAAAAAAGGTGATGGTATTTTTATAGGGATTGCATTAAATGTGTAGATTGCTTTAGGTAGCATAGACATTTTCACAATATTTGTTCTTCCAATCCATGAGCATGGAACGTTTTTCCATTTCTTTGTGTCTTCCTCAATTTCTTTCATGAGTATTCTATAGTTTTCTGAGTACAGATCCTTTGCCTCTTTGGTTAAGTTTATTCCTAGGTATCTTATGGTTTTGGGTGCAATTGTAAATGGGATGGACTCCTTAATTTCTCTTTCTTTTGTTGTTGTTGGTGTATAGGAATGCAACTGATTTCTGTGCATTGATTTTATATCCTGCCACTTTATTGAGTTCCTGTATGAGTTCTAGCAGTTTTGGGGTGGAGTCTTTTGGGTTTTCCACATAAAATATCATATCATCTGTGAAGAGTGAGAGTTTGACATCTTTGCCAATTTGGATGCCTTTTCTTTTTATTGTCTGATTGCTGAGGCTAGGACTTCTAGTACTATGTTGAACAGCAGTGGTGATAGTGGACATCCCTGCCATGTTCCTGACCTTAGGGGAAAAGCCCTGTTTTTCCCCATTGAGCATTCTCAATATTCGCTGTGGGTTTTTCATAGATGGCTTTTATGATATTGAGGTATGTATCCTCTATCCCTACACTGTGAAGAGTTTTAATCAAGAAAGGATGCTGTACTTTGTTGAATGTTTTTTCTGCATCTATTGAGAGTATCATATGGTTCTTGTCCTTTCTTTTATTTATGTAGTGTATCATATTGATTGATTTGCAGATGTTGAACCAACCTTGCAGCCCAGGAATAAAACCCACTTGGTTGTGGTGAATAATCCTTTTAATGTACTGTTGGATCCTACTGGCTAGTATCTTGGTGAGAATTTTTGCATCCGTGTTCATCAGGGCTATTGGTCTGTAATACTCCTTTTTGGTGGGGTCTTTGTCTGGTTTTGGAATCAAGGTAATGCTGGCCTCATAGAAAGAGTTGGAAGTTTTCCTTCTGTTTCTATTTTTTGGAACAGTTTCCAAAGAATAGGTATTAATTCTTCTTTCAATGTTTAGTAGAATTCCCCTGGGAAGCCATCTGGCCCTGGGCTCTTGTTTGTCGGGAGATTTTTGATGACTGCTTCAATTTCCTTGCTGGTTATGGGTCTGTTCAGGTTTTCTATTTCTTCCTGGTTCAGTTTTGGTAGTTTATACATCTCTAGGAATGCATCCAGTTCTTCCAGATTATCTAATTTGTTGTTCAGCCACTTTGTTTTTGTTTTTTTTTTTAAGATTTTATTTATTTATTTGACAGAGAGAGACACAGTGAGAGAGGGAACACAAGCAGGAGGAATGGGAGAGGGAGAAGCAGGATTTCCACTAAGCAGAGAGCCCGATGTGGGGCTTGATCCCAGGACCCCGGGATCATGACCTGAGCCAAAGGCAGACACTTAACGACTGAGCCACTCAGGTGCCCCTATTCAGTCACTTTCTTGTAGACGTTTACATTTCCAGTCTTTACAATCACAATGCTGCAATGAATAATCACATGTGGGCGTATTTTTGTATTGTTGGCAGTATAACTTCAGAGGAAATCCCAGTGGTAGAGTGTTGGCTCAAAGAGTAAGTGTTTTTGAAGTTTGCTTAGGTAGGTACTGACAAATTCTTGTCAAGGATTGTACCACTTTGCATTCCCACCAGCTGTGTAGGAATGCCTGTCTCCCTAAAGCCTTGCCTAGCAGTGTGGTTGTATTTCCATTGTTCACCAGTCTGAGACGTGATGTTCTCTCTATTGTTTCAATTGACATTTCTCTAATCATGGGTAAGTGTGTACATTTTTCATGTTTAAGGGCCATTTTTACATCTTAGTGTGAGTATGTGTGGGAGAAAGAGAGGAGAGTTGTCTTTTCTCAATTTTTCTATCAGGTTTTTAGTCCCTTCAATGTTTCATTCTTTATATAGTAGAAATATTAACACTTTGTCTATGATATGTGCTGTAAATGTTTTCTTCCAGTATTTTGACTTTATGGTATTTCTTAAGTGACTTTTTTTTTTAATGTAGCCAAACGTATCAGTCTTTTATCACCTCTAGATTTTTCACCTATGTTTTCTTTTAGTACTTGTATGGTTTCATTTTCTGACATTTACACCCTGGATCCATTTGGAGGTTATTCTGCATATGGTGTGAAGAACGAATCTAATTTCAACTTTTTCCAAATGGCTTTCCAGTTGGCTCAGTACCATTCCTTAAAAAGTCAATTTTGCCTGTGATTTGAAATTTCTCACCCCCTCCTCAGTGACACCGGGGGGAACATTGGACCCAAGAGCCTGGCGTGACATGGAAAGATACATCGAGCTAATGAGATTCCATTATAGGATACGAACTGAGAACAACTGTGAGAATCAGGTCAAAAAAGCCAAAAGGGGGAAAGGCTGGCATGGTCACAGAGCAATAGGAAAGCAAAAAAGCAAACCAAGGACACTGTACGGCGATGAGGCCAAATGAAGCAGGGATAACAAGCAGCTCACAAGGTGGAAACAGAAGGGACAGTCCCTGGAATCACCTCGGCTCGTCTGTGCCACCCACAACAAAACTTTCCAGCAGGAACAGCCCACCATGAACAAGCTCCAAAAACCCCAAGATGGACAAATATGCAGCCAAGACAAAGGAGGAATTCTCAGCAAGTCAAAAAGCTTTATTGCCATTCCAGGCTTCAAATGAGCCCAGAAACTGGGGGCAATCCATGGGTCAGTAGGCTGTCACGGAGGATGGGACGATGGACAAACCCAGGCACCTGATGTGAGTCCACCCCTCTTCGTGGGATCCTTGCTCCACAGAGGAGCTGCTGGTGGATTCCAACTCTTCAGTGTTTGCCCCATTCACCCCAACAACACTCTTAGGCTGGGGCAGGCAGCTTCGTGATCCCTGCAGCTCACATCTCTGAGAGGCTGCCTCCCCCTCCTCGAGCCCTGGAAGAGCCTGCTCCGTGGGTCAGATACTATGGATTTGGCCCTAGGGAGGGGGAAACGGCACTGGAGGAGTTGTCTCAAGACCAAAAGGACAAGGAATGCATGTTCTTACATCAGAGGTCGCAAACTGGCCACACTGGGCCAGATTTCCCCACTGACAAGTCTGTTTGGCCCTTTTGGCCTGCACAGTGTTTTAAAAAGTAATTAGTTGCCAGTATTTAAAAACTATAAGATTTCATATAAAAGTCTGGATTTCCAAGGAAAAACAATGGAGACTGTTTGGTAATATTGGGCCCACAACATTCTCACGTGGCACCAACTGCCAGAGCACTACAGAAGGTGCCCCCAAGGGCTGAACGCACCCTCTCTAACTCAGTTCAGGCCCCATATTCCCTGCTAATATTACCAAGCTCAAGCCTGGACATCAGCTGCCTTGTAACAGTGGATATGAGCTGCTATACAAAGGGGGGAAAAAAGACACGCCTGGAAGCAATAGGTTCCTTGTGGTCATCCTCACTCGTTTGGGTCTTGTGCTTGGCCCAGAAGGCGCCTGAGTTTGTAAACCACCTTAAATACATAGAGCATTCTTAAATACGTCTCCTAGTGAAGCCCTCCACCACATGCCCTACCTCCCCAGGATACGCTAGGCCCCACTGTTCATGGGGCAAATCTAGAAAAGAATACTGAATTAATCATAGAAGTTAATGGAGGAATAGACTAAGATGAACTACTTCAGTCCCTTCATCATAAGAGGGACCTGGAGTAAAACAAAAACTATTAATACTCTCATTCTGCTTTTAAGTCAGTGACCAAAAAAAAAATTTTTTTTAAGAAAATCATGAAGGTACTTCAGGAAACCAAGATTGGGTCAGTCTGCCCTCCTCCCTCTCATGCTCTCTGTATCTCATTCTCTCTGTCTCAAATAAATAAATAAATAAATCTTTAAAAAAAAAAAAAAAGATTGGGTCAGTCTGAACTTGGGGTCACAAAATATATTCGTCCCATTCCTTGATTATTTAGAAAATGAGTTAAGCTCTTAGAGAGAAAATCACAGGTTTGACGAGGAAAATGAAGCAGCCGGCCTGGCAGTTGTCGTGGGCTATCAAGAACTGCCGAGCTCCTCCCTAGGTTAGGGCTGCCTGCCCATGCCTAAAACATAGGTGGCACAAAAGGATTTTCAGTGAGGGAAGTGGCATCATTGTAGAAAGGAGCTTGAAGGGGGACAGAGAGTCAGAATTTGACCTTGGCAAATGCAAGACAGAAGAAGAGGGACATCTTCCTCATACCCCTTCATTCTGCTGTGGCTGGTGCCATATTATTTGCCCTTCAGAGAGGCAGAGATCTTGATACAGCCCAGGCGTTTCCCACCACTGCTGAGGATGCTCTTGATGCGGTAGGACCCAGAGCTGAGCCAGCTGGGCAGCTCCGTGCCGGGCAGGGTGAACTCAGTCTTGGGCAGTGCATAGATGCCCTGTGGGAAAACCAATGGATCACAATCAGTGGGACCCTACTGATAGGACTCTCCTGGAACTCTCCTGTAAGACTGCAGTCATGAACTGCCCCTCCTCCCACTCTCCCGAGAGCCATGTGAGATTAGAGATCGCCGGAGGCCTACAGAGCATGGAATGTTACAGCTCACAGGCACGGGAGGGCACACTGCAGTTCAAGTCTCCCAATTCACAGATGGATAAACCAAGGCTCTCCAAACATAAGCAATTTGGGATAGATCACACCAATTTACAGCCACAGACATCCAGATCTGCAGAAGGAGAATGCAAGACCCCAGTCTTTACTCCAGCCGCTCCTTCCCTACTAAGTACTTACTACTTTGATGGGACAGTGGCAGGGAAGCCCATAGGTGTGCAGGGGCTCTGGGCAGGGCTGTCCAGGGGGAATGAAAGCACCAAGTATTTGGCAGAAGTCTTCATAGGTGCAGCTACCAATTTGTTCCACACATGGGACTTTGACCCAGAAGCTGGCCACTTCCTTCTCTATAGTTAATTCCAGCTGGTGAGAAAGAGTTTGACACAGTATGAATTCCAAGGCAAACATGCCAGACCCTCTACATCTCCAAAAGGTCAGCATTTTATTTTAATCACAGAATTTTTCATCAGATGGGGTCTTGGAGATACTCTGATCCAGAAGAGACAACATTGTGGCACACACCGCAATGGTACCTTTTCCTGTGCCCAGAGCAGGTATTAATCATTGCTGTGATTTTTTTTCCCCCCTTCACTGAACCACAGTCTTAGAATTCTTTAGGTAGTCACTACCATCGGTGGAAGCTAACACTGGATTTGAAATGCACTTGTCTAACTGCTAACTGGCTAACTAGCGTCACTTCCTAGACTTCCCTTCTCAGTCCAATCTTGGCTTCAGAGCCCTTGTCTGTGTAGGACCTCAGCTACTGCCAGCCAATTGGAGCAGAAACCCATTTTCTATCCTTGGATCAAATTTCCTATCAAACACAGAATTTATTTTTTTTAAAGATTTTTAAATTTATTTACTTGAGAGACAGTGAGAACAAGAGAGATCACAGAGAGAGAGGGAGCAGCAGACTCACCACTGAGCAGGGAGCCTGATGTGGGGCCTCGATCCCAGGACCCTGAGATCACGACCTGAGCCAAAGGCAGATGCTTAACCGACTAAGCCACCCAGGTACCCCAAGACAGAATTTAAAACAATAGGAATTTATAGGGAGGTCACTTTGGGATTGATATAAAGCAAGATCTTCTTAACCATCATAGCTAGGTTACAACAGACAGAACTACCCCAAAAAGTGGTGGGCTCCCTGGACTCAGCTGGGGAAGCCACTGAAGGAGCTCTACATCCAGAGAGAAGTTGGACGAGAAGATCTATGATGTGCTTCACACCTCCAGCTGCCATGATGCTATTCCTGTTCTAGAGATTGCAGCTGACCCAGAAGTGGCCAGGATCTCAAGGGGGACGGTCCCAGCTGTGCCTGGTGTGTGCCAGGCATTCACTAAGTGAGTTGTCTCTCTTGACCATGTTCGTGCCCTCAACCCCCCAAAACGTATCAAGGGAAAACAGTAAGGAAAGGGCAGGAGGACGTTAGCTCACTGGAGCATCTGATTCCTTGTGGGTGTTATGCGGGAAACCACAATTTTAAGACCCCTTTCGGTTCTGACATCCTAGCAATTCCATGTTTCCCAGCCTCCAGGCTCACTTGATTTAGGACTCTTGTGTTTAAGAGACAAATTCTGGATGGGCGCTTATTCCCCCCCGAGCCTGCTGGGCTTGGGCTGGCTCCCCAGGTTGTGGACTCAGTCTTCCAACCGCCCTAGACGTCAGGATCCAGGCCCAGGAGGAAGGGAGACATCAGTGTACTCTGGATCCTGAGTGGACAAACTCAAATTGCCTCCCTTGCTGACCTCATCCCGCTCTGCTGACACACACAGTATCCCCCACCCCCACCCCCATTCACACACAGTCCCCTCCCAGTCCTCCTCTCTGCTCTCCTGCCAAGCCTGCTCCAGGCCCTTTGCCTAGGAAGAGTCACAGGGCCTGGATTGGAAAGCTATTCCTGACAGTTCCTAGTATTGTGCCCTTGCCTGGAGCTACTTCTCTCAGTTTCCATTCCCTTATCTCCAAAAGCAGGATATGCCTACCTCTCTCACAAGATCCCATCAGTGAGATAGTGCCTATAAAACACTTGGCACTGTGCCTGAAATCCAAACATTAACTCCTGCAGGACTATCTGTCCTACCTTCTCCCTCAGCCAATACTGTCTCCCCTCCCCTTGTTTCACCAATATCCCCAGGAAAATGGTTGAGTCGGTTATGCCCTGAGCAGAAACACCAAGATGAGGGGACCAGTGGGGGCCAAGTCCTGTCTGGGGTCCATCCATCAGGCTGGAAGCCTGTGGGGGCTGTATCTACCAGAAGGAGCCATGCCTCCCCCACCCAGGACAAGCACAGCATCAGAGGTGCTCAGTGGGGGTGCACAGAGCATAAGGCAACAGGCACTTTTGAGGTAGCAGCCATGCCTACCATTCGGGGACTGCAAACTATGGCTCTTTTCCCAGCCCTTGTTCTCAATCTACTTGCTCCTATGGCTCAGGAAAGCAAACAGGGCTGGATAATAAGGTACCGTCAATCTCTCTAGCCCAAGACTTCGGGGCAGTTAGGTAGCTCGATTTAAATAAACTTCTGTCATGGGACCTATCCCGACAGCAAGACAGAGGCACTGACAGGTAATCAAGGCAGGAGCCCTGCACCTGCCAGGGCCTGTAAGCAAGTCCCTTTCCCATCAGGTCTCCGCTCCTCCATCCTGACAATGGAATATTTGGATCTCATGATCTCAAAGACACCTACCTGTTCTGACATCCTAGGAGTAAAGATTTCTTACAGGTTGAAATGATTTCTCTTGGCCTCTCCCACACGGAGAGGCACACAAAGGCTCTAGATAAAGATACACTAATAGCAACTGAAGGGGAGCCATGTGATGCATCGGGAAGGGGGATGTTATAAAGGTCACAGGCCTCAGGCAGGGGCACTGCAGGTACATGATTTTAGGGGGGAAAGAAGGCCAAACCATCAGGCCTGAAAGCCATGTCTAAAAGCCCCAAATAAGCGTATATGCCAAATAAAGCAGCAATTTGATTCCTGAGGATGGGAAAACCAGGGTCCCAGAGGCTGGAACTTGAGAGAGGGCCCACAGAAGGGAGTTATAAATTATGCCGAATCCTATGAAGCAAGGCAAAAGAGGAAAAGGGAGCTCCTGGGTAGCCCCAGTCTTGCCCGTGGCACATGGAATCTGGGGCATCCAGCTTCTCAGCATTGCAGCTGGGATTAAATCCATCCAAGTCCGAGACGAGACTCTGGATTAAAAAAATTACACTTCAGCAAGGTCAGAGGAAGAGAGGATGGGTTGGCTCTCCAGTGGCCTGGACACTTACTCTCCCCTCTGGGCCTCAGTAACAAGAGGTGGAAGCCATTGAGGCCTCCAGGCTCATATGGGGCTGGAGTCGGTACTGTCCCAAGGGGGTCTCTGCTGAGCAAGGGAGAGTTCTGGAGCACTCTCCTACAAACACACCAAGCACTAAGTCCACCTCCCTGCCTGAAAGAGTTCAGGAACAGGGAACTACACAACATAAGGACACCCGGCCTTGAATGTACTAATAACCTGTGACCTGGGGCAGGTTGCACCCTTCTATGAGCCTCAGTGTCCCTTATCTGTAAAACGAGGTTAATCATTGTTTATCCTACACAAGTGTTCAGAGGCTTTCATTTAATGGCTAATATGCACATTACCTGAAAAGTAAAAGAACTAAACCAAAAATATAGAGGAGAAAGGTAGGGGGAAGGGGAGGGGCAGAGGGAATCTGAGCAGTTTTTAAAAAGTGCAATGGCCAAATTTATGACAGGTAATTAAGTAATAGGATGGGGGGGTGTCCTTAATGGCCTTCAAAGAAGCCAAGAAAAGCAGGCTGGGGACAGAAGGAGATCGCCAGTTTTTTCCTTCCAAGTCAGACGCACAGTGTCATGGAAAAGCCAGCGTTTTACATAACAGTAGCAGGAGAGCACCTGCCAGAGAGCCCTGCACCCCAGACTCAGCAGAAGGAGCAGGGAAATGGCATTTGTGTGACCCTGCTAGATTATCAGCTGAAGTTTGGCTAAAGAAAATGCAATGATCTCGCCCAGAGAAGATCTGGAAGGAGGTACCGAGGAAGGCAGGCCCGAGAGTGGTCCACACACATCCGGGGCTTCTGTCCAGGTCCCAGGGGCGGCAGGAAAAGACTGACACTAACTGAACTATTAACAAGAGTTAACATGTTCTGAGCAGGTCTTGTGGGCCAGGTCCTGTGCAAAGCACTCTCCACATTATTAACCCAGTAATTGTCCACCAGCAACCTACGAGGTAGAGGCTGTAATTCGGCCAGGCTGAAGGGTAGTTACAGGGATAGATTCCAAATCAGAAACCTTTTAAAGAATCAGAATAAAACTGGTGCCAGAATAGATCTGCATCGGGATAAGCTGAAGGGCATGTAAGAATATGCTATAAAGGCAGCAATTCAAAGTAGTGAGAAGAAGTACAGTGTGTATGGTGTTACAATAGACCTATGAAAAGCCTTTATTGTTCTGTTGAAAAGCATGTAAATAGCCACCCCAAAAGAGGAAAACAGACATGATCAAACTGTCCAATCCCAAAGTATATACAAAAGGCAACAGAATTCATGAAAAGACATCAAACCTCACTAGGGATGACATAAAATGGTGGAAAACATTATTGGAAAATGCTCAGAATCATCAAATGTGTGAAAAAAGCAAATCTGTTGCTGGCACATCTGTTGGAGAGGATACATGGGTTCAAATATCTGGAGGCACTCTGGCAATCTGTATCTAAAGACCTAAAAAGGCTGTGACTAGATAATCAGAGAAGGACAAAAAGATACATTACAAGGATAATTTTAGCAAAGGTGTTTCTAACAGCCAAAAAATAAAGCCAAACAGACAAAAAACTACCACAGAAACAAACTAAATGTCTGGCAATAGATTTGTTAAGTGTACCAGGACAGATCTACAACAGAATATTTCTGCCATTAAAAAGAATCAGGTAGGGGCGCCTGGGTGGCTCAGTCGTTAAGCGTCTGCCTTCGGCTCAGGTCATGATCCCAGGGTCCCAGGATCGAGTCCCATGTCCGGCTCTCTGCTCAGCGGGGAGCCTGCTTCTCCCTCTCCCTCTGCTGCTCCCCCTGCCTATGCTCTCTCTCTGTCAAATAAATAAATGAAATCTTAAAAAAAAAAATTAGGTAGATTGCTGCCAAATGCGATAGAATGAGGTACAGAGCCTATAAGATGATGCCAAAAAAAAGCAAGTTTAATAGCACATGCCATAAAAACCCACTAGTGTAAATGTACATATATTTACAAATGTAGAAAACATTCTGACAATTATGTAAATAGCTAACAATAACTATCTCCTGAGGAGTCACATTGCAGGACATTTACAAGGAGCACTGCTTTTTTTTTCATACCTATCCATTCAATATTAGTATGTGTGTTATATGTGATTGCATGGGGGACAGTTCCAAAGCCTCGCCTACCAAATGTTAAAAGTGCTTACCCCTTATCACTGGGTAGTGAGATTTCAGATGATACATTTCTCCCCCGCCTTTTGACAATTTGTGATTTCTAAAGTGACTACATGGTATTTACTAAGTGATGTGTCTGTTTTATAATTAACAACAGCACCACAACACTGCCCAACTGGAGCTGTTACAGTTGACGAATCTATGCATCCTTTGCTGCTCTGGGAAATCCAGGATTGCAAAATCACTCACAGGCTGAACATACATCCCTCAGGGCCCCTGCCAGCTGGCCCTGGCACCTTCCCTCCAGCACCTCCCCAACCCTACCCATGCCCAGGCTTACCTTCTGAGGACTACTGAGGGGGACACCGATCTGGACCTCGGCGCTGATAGTCATGTTCCCAGGAAAGGCAATGGGATCAGGTTCCAGAGTCAGGCTTTTGAGCACCACAGGGTCCTTCTCGTCATCGCAGTTCTCCCAGTAAAAGCTATCCAGCTGGGACGGCCAAGGAAAAATCCGGCAGAAAGAACAGAAACATTGACAAAAGGAACGCTCACAGGTCAGAAGCACCAACAGAACAGGCTACTGATGGTGTGACATTGGGCAAGGTACCTCCTCCCCTCCCCTGAGCTTTATCTGCAACTCTGTATCTGGAAGCCCGGGATAACACTTATGGTACCCATTTCCTAGGTAGTACTATACTAAAAGCCTCCAAAGACATAATCTCCCAAAAGTGTGCTGTAAACTATAGAGCACAATATACCAGACCTTGAGCTTCAAAACAGGTGACTAACCACATCGCCCTTGGTAGGTACCTTCTCTGATCTCCCACCCCCGGCACCCTCCCTCTCTCTAGCCAGTCCTGGTATCTCCTTAAAGGGAAGCTCCTGGAGGATTCACCTTTGCAGTCCCATGCCCAGGACCTTATTCATGTCACACCTCATGCCCAATCCAGGGCCAGTAATAAAAGGAAGCTTAACACAGTGGGAAACCCCACCCTCAAGGGGTATGCAATCAGCCTGGGGAGGGAATAGGACACATGTCGAGATACCTGTGTTGGGGCGCTTGTTGATGAACCCCAGTGAACAAGCTTCCCCAATCCTAACCAGTGCTTCCTGCCTCCCATCCCATTGCCCATGCCCTGCCCCATCTGAATCATCACCTTCCTCACCTCTACTGAGCTACTTCCTCTTCTTCCTCCACATCCCCCAGAGGTCTCCGGATTCCACCATCCCCCCTCTGGCTACACAAGACCACTGACTCCCCATTCCCACAGAACCCTGACTAGTTGTCTATGTCTATATATCGTGCAGACTCTGCCCACCCACTCACCCCTTTCCCAGCCCCCTGAAGGCCATCTAAGACACACTTTAGGCACTCCCACCATGCACACCCCATCTTAGAAGGAAAACCGGCCAGCCCCACATCCCCAAGCTGACCCCATCGTCAACACAGCCAACTGGCTGAAAGGAAACACGTAACCCAAGCTAGGCTGACAGATTCTCTCTGCCTCTGGGAAATGGAGGTTGAGGCAAAAATCACTTAGAGAACTTTGTGCTGTCATTGGGTCATAACCTTTGGGATGAGGCCAGAACACCTAGACCTGAGACTCACGACTAAGCCGAAGTTTGAGAAGAGACAAGAACTAAGAGCTCTGCTGGTCTCTGGAAGAGAGAACAGAAATGTCCCCTCCCCACCCCCACCCCTGTCTAAATAGGCAGTACGGGGTAGCAGTGAAAGGCATGACTCTGAGACAGATACGGGGTAAAGCAGAGCTTTAGTCAACAAGCGTGGCTCAGCCACCTTATCACATGATTCTATAGGCCAGTTTCCCCTTTGGCACCCCAATTTCCACATCTTTGGAGTGAAGGCTTTATACTTTCCTCTTAGGGTGATTGTGAGGATGAGAGCGTGCATGAGAGCGTGCAAGCTCCTAAAACAATGCCAGGCCCAAAGAATGGGCTGGCTCACAGAATGAAAGCCACTATATGGCCCAGCCTCCACTTCCTGCCATTAGCTCCATGAGATTCCTTGTATACCTGGAGTAAACTTCCCTTTACTTGAGCTTCTTAGAATGGGTTTTTGTCCCTTGGAATGAAATGTCATGCCATGAGTAAGAAAAACAGAATGGGGTCTGATTCATGCCCGCATGCCCCACAGCCCCTTACACAGGGTAGGTACCAATAAATGTTTCCTTCAGTATTCATCCCACAAATATTTAGGGAGCAATGATCACGGGCCCTGGGCTAAGTCTGTGTTAACAGTGGTAAACAATTTGAAATGTTCTTGCCCTGCCTTGAGGAGCTTAGAGTCTAATGCCAATAAATATTACCCACCATGATTTCTGAGTGCCAGAAAAGAAATGCACAGAGGTCACGTTGAGAGTAATAAAGGGCTTACTTAAATAAGGTGGTAAGGAAATGATACTTAAGCTGGACTTCTGCAGGATGAGGAGTCAGCCATGTAAGTACAGAGAGAAAGAATGTTCTCTCTAGGCAGACAACATGGGCAAAGGCCCTGTGGTAAGAAGCTTAGCTGGTCTGGGCACTACAAGAAGGCTATTGGGCTAGGTGTAGCAGATGACTGACACGGATGAGGCTGGAGAGGTGGCAAGGTCATTTAATGTATGACCTCATAGGTCACAATTGGGACCCTGGATTTACTATAATGCAATGGAATCCCACTGCAAGAGAGTGCCACGCTCTGGTTTATGTTTGAGAATGGACTGGAGAGGGACCAGTCTGGAAGGGGGAGACCAGTTCGGAGGCCACTGTCAAATGAAAGAAGGCCTGGACTTAAGAGCTGGGCTGGAGGGATGGTAGGAGGACTAGCCATTTTCTGGGGCTGCTTTCACAGATTGTAAGGCAACCTGTTTCACATCGAGGACTCATTCCAGGCTGGGGCAGGTATCCCGAGTGTCCTGTTGGAGATGACGAATTCCCTCCCTTCTCCTAAGCTCCTTTACTTCAGGCCCTGGGCGAGGCATAACAATGCGGTTTCCCAGTGCCCGACTAGAGGTTTCTGTGGCAATGATTTCTACAGCTGGGTCCAGCCTCGTCTGGAAACAGAGGCATGAAGGATTAGCAATGCCCACTGCGGGCCAGACCTGGCACAGGAGTTCCTCTTATCTGTGCAGGATACGTCCCAAGACCCCCAGTGGATGCCTGAAACCACAGATAGCACTGAATCCTATATATTCTATGGGTTTTTTTTCTATGCATACTTTTTTTATACTTACCTATGATCAAGTTTAATTTATAAATTGGGCACAGTAAGAGATTAACAACCATAACTAATACAAAATAGAACAATTATAATGTACTATAATAAAAGTTTTGTGAATGTGGCCTCTCTCTCTCAAAATATCTTACTATACTGCACTCACCCTTTTTCTTGTTGATGATGTAAGTCGAGAAAGTGCCCATCTGATGAAGTAAGGAAGGGGAATGATGCAGGCATTGTGATAGAACATTAGGCTACTATTAACCTTCCGATGACGTCAGAAGGAAGATCATCTGCTTCCAGACTGGGCTTCCATGCCACAGACAGCAAAACCACAGATAAGGGGGAGACCACTGTATTTACCATCCCCAATAGAGGCCAACACGTGGGAAGATGCAACATAGGGCAGAGGGGAAAGGCACAGCTCTGGAGGCAAAAATATGGGTATACATCACAAACCTGGGTTCCAATCACACCTCAGCCACTCGTACCAGCTGAGACCATGGGTGAAGTTACCCTCTTGAGGTTCAGTTTCCTCATCTATTAAATGGGCACAATTATATCTTCTCACAGGGCTACTGGGAAAAAGAGAAGTCTGTACAGAAAATACAGGTCATCACTCCTCAAGACTGTCAAACCATGAAAACACAAGACTGGGAAGCTGTCACAGACCAGAGGAGGCTGGGGAGACCTGATGACAAATGCACTGTGGTGCCCTGGACTGGATCCTGGAACAGAAAGAGGACATTCGTGGGAAAACTGGTAAAATCCAAATAAAATTTAGAGTTTAGTTCATGGTGATGAACCAATGTTAGTTTCTCAGTTTGGACAAACACACAATGGTAATAGAAGATGTTAACATTAGGGGAAACGGGGTGAGGAGTATATGAGAATTCTATACTATCTCTGCAACTTTTCTGTAAATCTAAAATTATTCCCCCAGGGACGCCTGGGTGGCTTGGTTGGTTAAGCATCTGCCTTCAGCTCAGGTCATGATCTTAGGGTCCTGAGATCGAGTCCTGCATTGGGCTCCTTGCTCAGCGGGGAGTCTGCTTCTTCCTCTGCCTGACACTCCCCCTGCTGTGCTCTCTCTCTTGTTCTCTCTCTGACAAATAAATAAATAAAATCTTTAAAAAAAATAGAAGTATTGCCCCAAAAAAGCTTATTAGAAGAAAAAGCACACAGCTCAACACATAGCACAGAGTATGTGCACAATAAATGACAGTCATTATACAGTGTCACAGAGCCTATTAAGCACCTACTGTATGCCTAGCACAGGATTAGACATTCTCCCCGCTGTCTAATGCTGGCCACAGCCCGGTGACTGGTTAATGCTAGAAAAGGAAAGAAAACTCAAGTTTTTAGATGCTTAAATGCTCACTATCACCCCACTGCCTTTATCTGGACCAGGGTCTCAGGCACAGGGCTCTGAATAACCACGAGCCCAGAAAAAACAAAGTAAAGTACCTCTTGCTGTACAATGGTAGGTGTGCCTGTATCCTCTAGGGGCCTGGGCGAGGTGGGTGATCTCTATGATGTCTCAGGGCCTCCCCAAAACTGCTGATCTATCTAAAGCCTTCTGGTCTGGGAGGGCATCCATGGCCAAGACATATAAGACAATGGGGATGTAGGGCAAGTTGGAGCTCGAGCCAGACTCCACCTCACAGTGGTCAGCCTGGAGCCAAGAGAAACATTCTCAACCTGCCTTTCTCAGCCCGGTGACACGAGACTGGTTAATGCTAGAAAAGGAAATACAACTCAAATTTCCAGATGCTTCTGATGCCCATATGCACCTGAGAAAGGCAGGTTGATATCACCATGCATATTTTACAGATGAGGAGACCATCTGCATCTTGCCCACAGCTATGCAGCAAAGAGGCAATGGAACCAGGCTTCTCCTGGTCTTAGAATGACAGAACTTCCCTTTTCCAAGGGTCTGGAGCATGGGGTGAGTGAAAAGTGAAGGAGGAAGCTGGAGACTCTTCGTGGCCTGTAACTAGAAGCAGTGGGTCACAGGGCTGGATCTCAATCACCAGAAGAACAAGCCTCTCAAACCCACCCACCCATCAGGACAAGCTGAGCCACACCAGTACAGAAGGGGAAGGGATGGGTGCCAGGCCTTTTTATGGGAGGTGGAAGGGGGGGCTGGTAAACAAGGCTGAGTCTCTGGGCCTGGGAGCAGTTCCTTAGCCTTGCAGTTCTGCCAAATTTCACTCAGATGTTCAGAAAGAAGAGGACAAGAGAGTAGAGACCTGAGGGAGATTAACCCTTCCCCAAAAGTCTGGAGCAGACAAGGCCTAATAGCCCACCCTCACTATACTGATGAGTTAACCGAAACTCAGAGACAGAAAAGGACCCACTCAGAGTCCCACAGTTAGTGACTTTGGGAGGCTCTGTTGAAGAGAAGGAATTCTAGAAAGCGGAGTAGCCACCCCCATAATCCCACCCCAACTGGGCCGGCAAACTGGAAGCAGCCACCGAAAGGAGAGGGGGGGCTCACCTGATTCAGATGGACGCGTGCACGGGCCGCAGGGCCGGCGAGGAGCAGGCCCAAGGCCATCAGGAGCGGAGCCTGCATCTCCGGAATCATTTCGAGCAGTGGGTCTGCGCCGGATTACCAGGTCTGTGGCCGCGGCAGCGCCTTTAAATGCTTGCCTACGCTGGTTATGCAAAGCCGGTCATTGCTATGCAAAACAGCGCGGCCACTTCCAGGTTTGCTCCGCCCCGTGGGGGATGTGAGATTTCAAGGCCTGGCGTCGGACAGACCTCTACCGACTCAGCCCGGCTGAGGCTCCGGCTTCAGCCCCTCCCTCTGGGCGTAGGCGTCAAGCCCCTCCCTGTGACCGGCGACCGCGGAACCCGAGGATGAAAGGGGCGGGGCCGAGGGGCGGGGCCGGGGCGCGGGGGGGGGGGAGGAGCTGTTGTTTCTAAACCCACGCAGGCGGTGACCGTCACTGCCTGAAAAGCAGTTTGGTTTTCAGACCCGGGTGCGTTCTTTGAGCAAATGTCACGCTCCCTGTTCATAGTACGCTCTCCTGTATCCGTGTTACGAATCACTGTGTCTTTTTAATGATTATAATCATAATTGTAATAACCGAGAGTAAGCGCTTTAATGCATGCTAAGCACTGTTAAACACCTATGAGGGAATCTATTTTTTTTGCCCCTTCTTAACACTGAGGAAAACACACACGGCGAGGTTAGCTTTGCCAAGGTCACAAAGCTTATAGAGCCCGCAGCCAAGATTTTGTTAAGCTATAATGCTTTGTAGTTGAGTTTTGCTTTTTAAAAAAACAATAGGGATATTATTCCTGCCAAATCACCACTAGATTGTAAACCCCGCAAGGGGTGGCACTAACATGTGCTTAGGACCTGACACATAATAAGCAATCAATCTTGGTTGCATAAATGAACGCATAAGTAAAATTTAAAACTTACCTAATCATCTTTTTTATATACAATTTTTTTAATTTTGGAATTAATTTTAGATTTACAGAAAAATTGCAAAACTAGTACAGAATGCTACCAATTTCCCCATTGTTAACATTAAGATATCAGGGTATTTTTATCAATTGGTGTAATGAGCACTGGGTGTTATAGGCAACCAAAGAATCACTAAACTCTACTACATGTTAACTAATTGACTTTTTTTTAAAATCTTATTTTAAAAGCATTGTTGTATTTTTTGGGCGCCTGGGTGGTTCAGTTGTTAAGCATCTGCCTTTGGCTCAGGTCATGATCCCAGGACCCAGGGATCGAGCCTCTCATCGGGCTCCCTACTCTGCAGGGAGCCTGCTTCTCCCTCTCCCACTCCCCCTGCTTGTGTTCCCTGTCTCGCTGTGTATATCTCTGTCAAATAAATAAAATCTTAAAAAAAAAAATTGTTGTATTTTTTTAATTTTTAAACATTTTTTATTTAAATTCAATTAATTAACATAATGTATTATTGGTTTCAGAGGTGCAGGCCTGTGATTGATTCATCAGTCTTACATAATACCCAGTGCTCATTACATCACATGCCCTCCTTAATGTCCATCACTCAGTTACCCATCCTTACACCCTCCTCCCCTCCAGCAACCGTCTTATGGTTTCTTAGGTTTCTTATGGTTAAGAGTCTCTTATGGTTTGTCTCCCTCTCTGGTTTCGTCTTGTTTTTTTTTTTCCTCTGTTCCCCTATGATCCTCTGTTTTGTTTCTTGAGTTCTATATATCAGTGATATCATGTGATAATTGTCTTTCTCCGAATGACTTATTTCGCTTAGCACAATACCCTCTAGTTCCATCCCATGTCGTTGCAAATGGCAAGATTTCATTTTTTTGATGGCCGAGTAGTAGTCCATTGTATATATATACCGTATCTTTTTTATCCATTCATCTGTAGGTGGACATCTGGGCTCTTTCCATAGTTTGGCAATTGTGGATGTTGCTGCTATAAACATTGGGGTGCACATGCCCCTTCGGATCACTACATTTGTATCTTTGTGGTAAATACCCAGTGGTGCAAATGCTGGGACATAGGGTAGCTCTGTTTTCAACTTTTTGAGGAATCTCCATACTGTTTTCCAGAACGGCTACACCAGCTTGCATTCCCACCAACAGTGTAGGGAAGTTCCCCTTTCTCTGCATCCTCGCCAACATCTGTCATTTCCTGACTTGTTCATTTTAGCCATTCTGACCGGTGTGAGGTGGTATCTCATTGTGGTTTTGATTTGTATTTTCCTGATGCCGAGTGACGTGGAACATTTTTTCATGTGTCTGTTGGCCATTTGTATGTCTTCGTTGCAGACATATCTGTTCGTGTCTTCTGCCCATTTCTTGATTGGATTATTTGTTCCTTGGGTGTTGAGTTTGATAAGTTCTTTATAGATTTTGGATACTTAGCCCTTTATCTGATATGTCATTTGCAAATATATTCTCCCATTCTGTCAGTTGTCTTTTGGTTTTGTTGACTGTTTCCTTTGCTGTGCAAAAGCTTTTTATCGTGATGAAGTCCCAATAGTTCATTTTTACCCTTGCTTCCCTTGCCTTTGGCGATGTGTCCAGAAAGAAGTTGCTGCGGCTGAGGTCAAAGAGGTTGCTGCCTGTGTTCTCTTCAAGGATTTTGACAGATTCCTGTCTCACATTTAGGGTCTTTCATCCATTTTGAGTCTATTTTTGTGTATGGTGTAAGGAAATGATCCAGTTTCATTCTTCTGCTTTTGGCTGTTCAATTTTCCCAACACCATTTGTTGAAGAGACTGTCTTTTTTCCATTGGACATTCTTTCCTGCTTTGTGGAAGATTAGTTGACCATAGAGATGAGAGTCCTTTTCTGAGTTCTCTATTCTGTTCCATTGATCTACGTGTCTGTTTTTGTGCCAGTACCATCCTGTCTTGATGATGACAGCTTTGTAATAGAGCTGGAAGTCCAGAATTGTGTTGCCACCATTTTTGGTTTCCTTTTTCAACATTCCTCTGGCTATTTGGGCCTTTTTCTGGTTTTATACAAATTTTAGGATTATTTGTTCCAGCTCTGTGAAAAAAGGTGATGGTATTTTGATAGGGATTGTATTGAATATGTAGATTGCTCTAGGTAGCATAGACATTTTCACAATATTTGTTCTTCCAATCCATGAGCATGGAAC